TCTGTCACCCAGGCCAGAGTGTAGTGGTGAGATCCTGGCTCACTGCAGCCTCAAACTCCTGGGCTCAAGCAATCTCCCGCCTCATCTTATCGCAGAGCTGGGATCACAGCTACCTTATCACCACACCTGGCTACTTTTTTTTTCTTTTTAGAAATGGGATCTCACTATGTTGCCCAGGCTGGTCTCAAACTCCTGGCCTCAAGTGATCCTCGCCACTCGGCCTCTCAAAGTGCTGGGATTACAGGTGAGAGCCACCACCCCGAGCCTTGAGGGTTCTTCTTAATGTGATAATAGTTTTACATCAGAAAACTGAATGATGTAGTGATTCATGTTTACAACACATAACGAATGTAAACACTACAGAAGGATTGGGGTAAAATATGACACCAACCATAGACATTCTTAGTCCATTAAGGACAGAAGGGAGGAAGGTGGCATTCACAAGCCAACAGCAAACATAATCCCTCATCGCGAAATGCCAGGAGATTTTCTTTAAAATGAAGAATCAGGTGAGAATGCCGGCTTCCCAGCTTCTGCTTCAAATGGACTGGGTGTCATCTCCAGAGCTGTAAGAAAGGAAAAGGCTTTCTTTGTAGGAAGAGACCGGTAGGCAAGAAAAACACTGTCACGTTCACAACCATGTAACTGTCTGCACGGATGCCCAGGAGAATCCCCGGACCTGAACGGTCAGAACTCAGGAGAATTCATGGCAGCTGCCTGTGAGCACAGGCACTAAAAGTGAATGCCTCCTCACGCACCAGCCAGAGGCAGGGAACACAACGTTTAGGGATACCGTTTGCCATAGGAATGTCAAAACCATGTGATAAGAATAAATCCAACAAAAGATGGGCAAGGCAATCACAAAAAAAGTTTAAAAAAAAACACAAAAAACATAATTGAAATACATTAAAGGGCAGGGCGTGGTGGCTCACCCCTGTCATCCCAGCACTTTGGGAGGCTGAGGCAGGGGGATCACTTGAGGTCAGGAGTTCGAGACCAGCCTGGCCAACATGGTGAAACCCCATCTCTACTAAAAATACAAAAATTAGCCAGGCATGGTGGTGTGTGCCTGTAATCCCAGCACTTTGGGAGGCTGAGGCAGAAGAACCCCTTGAACCCAGGAGGCAGAGGTTGCAGTGAGCTGAGATCGAAACGTTGCACTATCTTAAAAAAATATTAATCCTCCCTGAACTAATCTATGAATGCAGGGCCATTCAACCACACTCTAACCAGGCTTCCACCACACCCAGCTAATCTTTGTATTTTTAGTAGAGACAGGGTTTCACCACGCTGGCCAGGTGGGTCTCGAACTCCTGACCTCAGGTGATCTGCCTTCCTCAGCCTCCCAAAGTGCTGGGATTACAGGCGTGATCCACCGCCTTGTAACGGAAAATTTCTTAAAGTAGTAAAAACCACAAACCAGAGAACAAAGAGATCGGTAAATTCAACAAGAAAAAACTAAGGTTTTTAATATGTGAACTTCTCTGCATCAAAAAACACCATAAACCAAGCAAAAAAACAAGTCATCTCTTGGGAAGAGGTGTTTGTAACACATATCACTGGGCAAGATTTAGTTTTCACTATCTAAAAAGAAGGTACCACCCCATTAGAAAAAAAGGCAAGCCACTGAATAGAAAAGTGGACGAGGGGGGGACAATCAGCTCGCAGGGAAGAGAACCTGAATGGTCGGCACACGCATGAGAGGAGACCAAACCAAAACTGCAGAGTGGATGAACAAAACCCAAACATCAGTCTAGAGAAGGAAAAGCTCGTTTCTGCAGAACACCAGCTAAGCGGAGGTGAAATGACAGCATTAAGAAGGCCCCGTCTGGCATTCATTGAGAGACAAGGATTATCACTGGACGCCCAAGTCACAGGTGAAAGTTAACAGGGACAAGAACGTTCAGTCTCAACCACCTGACTGATGACTTATAAAGTTAAAAGGACATTTTGAAAATAGAGAACCCCGGCCAGGCGTGCTGGCTCATGCCTATAATCCCAGCACTTTGGGAGGCCGAGGCAGGGGGATCACTTGAGGTCCGGAGTTTGAGACCCAGCTGGCCAACATGGTGAAACCCCGTCTCTACTCAAAAATCAGCCGGGCATGGTGGTGTAATGGTGCTTGTAATCCCAGCTGAGGCTGGGCAGGAGAATGGCTTGAGCCCGGGAGGCGGAGGTTACAATGAGCTGACATCGCGCCATCGCACTCCAGCCTGGGTGACAGAGTGAGACTCCACCTGAAAAAAAAAAAAAAGCAATGACTCCAAATGGCATCTTGGCCATGCCAGGCCAGCCTGAAGGGTGCACTCTTCAGTCCGGCCTTTGCATTCCTGGGTACAGACTGCTGTTGGTAATTACAAAGGCTCAGAAAATCTCCAAACATTCACTAAGAGGAGAATGGGCAGGTACACGGTGGTGTATTCCTAGGTGGGTTGTACATGATTAAAGCTGACCCGAGGCTGTGAGCAACCTAATGGCGAAGTCTTGAACACAGCCACCATATTGGGGTGGGGTGAGACAGTTGCAAAAGGAAAAATCATGCTACTTACATGAAATTTAAACAATATTTTAAAAATCCCATGCACCCGGATATGCATAACACAGGCTTAGGATGAACCGGCCCGGCCAGCAGGGGAGGGGTTCTACTTTAAGGAGCTACACAGAGGACTCACATGGAAGGCATCGTGTTCTATTTCTTTTATGAAGAGGGGAGCGGGGTAGGGTCTCACTCTGATGCCCAGGATGGAGTACAGTGGTACCATCACCATTCACAGCAGCCTCGACCCCCCAGTCTCAGGAGATCCTCCCACCTCAGCCTCCTGGGTAGCTAGTACTAAAGATTTTGTATTTTTTATAGAGACGGGTGGCTCACGATGTTGCCCAGGCTAGTCTCAAACTCCTGAACCCAAGACTCCCAAAGTGCTGGGATTACAGGCATGAGCCACCATGCCCAGCCATGTTGTTTTTCTGAAGCTAAGTGGGGGGCTGGGTAGATGGAGGCTCTTCCTAACTTTATTTATGCCTACTGGCATAGTTAAAATAGTTCCTAATTGTTAACTATAGGGGGAAGGGTATTTGCTGAAAGGCAATTCTTATTTCTGAAAGGAAAACAATATGAAAGCTCAATAAACTATAGAAAACTATAAATAAGCACTTCCTGTATCTCCCCTCGCTGGGGGAACACTGAGGCATTCCAGTCCAAGGCAGGAACCAAAGAAGGATGCCTGCTTTTACCATTACTGTTCCAGCCTGGAAATGAGACGTGTAACTTCTGGAAAGGAGGGGCCCCAGCGGCACATTCCTGGGAGCCCCTGGAGAGTCGGCGGAAGAGCTTTCAGAATGAATGAGGGAATTCAGGAACGC